AATGTCTTGTTCAACTCAAAACTATGTCATAGACTCTTTCATGTGCTGAGCAATGTGAGAACTTTCCATTTTGGATCAACCTGAAACTAAATTCCTGTTTTTTTTTCTTTTTCGGTAATATCCAGTGAAGCAAAAAAACCCAACAACAACAAAAATCAAGAATTTTAGCTATTTGCACAGTTATAAGAATATCACTGTCTGCTGCTACTGTTGTGGAAGTGAAATTAAGGTGTGTTGTGGGTTCAACCCTTCATGATAAATCATGTAGGAATATGAAAGACAGTGTCTGTGCCCTTGAGTACTGGATGGAATGACTTTCTACTGCACACCATTGCATTTAGGAGAGAACCGGAGAACCAGAAACCAGGCCAATCTTTGTTGGCAATCCTGACTTGGCCACATCCCTGCACTGCTGGTGAGGGGAGTGCCAGGCTGGATCAGAACCTGAGCAACAAATGAGTCTGGCCAGGAAGCTGCCCCATTCTTTCTGGAGCCCGGCTGCCACTGACAGAGGCTGTCTGCTTGTGAGCATTCTCCGGAGCCCCTCTCCTGGGGACCCAGTGCAAATCCTGCAGCAGCAGGAAGTTCTTGCAGCACGGGTCAAATTTGCTTTAATCATAATTCATGTTAGCCCAAGCTGGCAGCACTATTTCTGCCCTCTACCAGCTGTGGATGTGCAGGGGAGTTCAGGGGATAAATAACCTGGTTTCATCTTTTGCTACAAAATGTCTTCTAATGTCTTTATTTTTGGGAGAGGCAAGACAACAATCAAATGATAAAGTCCCCAGATGAAGTCCCTGAATCAGGTAAGAATCCCCACCACTCTCAGCACCCTTTCCTTTCTCTTCCATGCTTAGCAGTACCTCCCCTTCCCTCCCATTCTCTCCCTCCAGATGCTCAATTCTATCTCCCCAAGGATGGGGGGGGATCTTCAGTTTCAGAAAGGAGGCATCTCAGTCAAAACAGAGAAATAACCTCCAACCCCAACCACTCTAGTGATCCAAATGGGTAGGGGAGATAAAGCCAAGGTACTGCCCAAATTCCCTGTTGACCCATCTCACACTGCCTCTGTGCTAATCAGAACTGTCATGTGGCTGCCAAAAAAGCATTTCTCCTATGCTGCAACGGCTAGAGCTAGTGAAGCACTTGGGGATCTCTTGGTTAATGAAATATTGTTCATTACTACTACTACTATACAAACACTACGCTAAGATAATGTTACTTGGGTTGGAAAATCAAGTACATAACAGTTAGGGAAAACTGATGAATAGTTTGCCGCACCTTAATTCTGTGCCTTGGACACTAATCCTGTGCACAGAAAGAGGCAGGGGACCATTTGAAAGCTAGGATACAATCTTGTAGTTGAAAACTGTCTTAACGCACACATAAAGATTTCCTGGGCATGTGTAAATATCCTATTTCCTTTCTTTTGAGAGCTTGTATGTATATCCTAAAAACTTATATCATGTTCTTTTAACATGGAAGGGAGAAGAGTAGAATTTCCTGTTTTTCTTTTAAAGAAACGAATAGAAACCAGTTCCATTATATGCAACCATAAGTACTCCCCCATCATTTATTAGCATCTGAACCCTGACCTTGAGTCCCACCTGCTACTTTTCAAGCTACAGGATTGGTTATGCAAACTGGCAACAGAAAAAGGCTGTTATCTCTGATGGGAATGGGAGGCCAGTCCTGGTGTTGGATTTGGGGAATGCCTGGCCTGGTGCTCTCTCATTTTCCCACCTTCTGCCCTAGAGCAATGTTGTAGACAAGGGGGGCTATAGAGGAGGGTGGTCACCAAGTTAGCTCTTTTCCCCCAGCATACCTGTCCTTTGGCTTTGCAAGTGACTTGAGCCCAGGCTCAGACTGTCTAGTGATTTTGACAGGCTGTCAACACGTTCCTTACAACACAAGCTACAGGAAGAGCAGACCATTTTTGTCATCATTCATATCTTGAACAGATCTGAATGAAACATTGTGGGGAAAAGAAAAGGCATGTCTAAAACCCAAGCGGAATCCTCCAGCTGACCAGGAAGGACCAGCTCTAAATACTGGCAGAAGGAGAGCTCCTCAAAGAAAACATTACAAGGATCCATTATTGCAGGAAATGTTAGGCAACTTGGTCTAGGGTCATTGCCAGCTCCCCAAATAAGAATTTATAGGAATATCTAAAGGGAAGGCCTAGTGGAGCTGGTGACAGCACACTAGACTAGGTGTAAGAAGATCTTGGATATGTCCCCAGCTCCTCACTGGTCATGCACCGTGGTGCGATCTTGGGTGAGTCACTGCTCTTCTCCACATCAGTGCTTCTCCTCTTGCTATTTCTCTTGTCTATTTAGAGCAGAGGATTTTGGGGCAGAGATGGTACAGTTATATAGTATGTTCCACAATACAGCCTGGTCTGTGTGGGGGTCTCTACCATAACAGAAATTATAAATAATAACAGCCAAGGGTAGGGAACAGCCACTATTTGGCTAAAATACAAGCCTTGGCTGGTATTCTATAGGATTTTTGCTCAACTCAAATCCTCCTGAAGTCAGAGGAGGGAGTATGTAGCTAAGCCAGGAAGAATTAAGTCCTTTAGGGTTTATTTCCAGCAGCTGGCCAGACCAATCCACCACTCAACGGGCACAGATTTTCCCTGGAAGACCTAAGAGCAGCTGCAAGTGGGAAAGTGTTCCTCAGTACCTCACAGAAGCTCCCCCACCCTGCGTGGGATGTCTCTGAGCTGTTTTGTACAGAGGCAGCTGAGGCGAGAGAGGCACTTCTAGCTGTTTATCGGCTCTAGACGTGTAAAAATGTCATGGCTATAGAGGAAGTGTGGGGGGTTGGAGAGGGTGCTTCGGGCAGGGGAACAATCGGCTGAAAGAGATAGCTGTCTGGGCTCCAGGGCTGGGTCCCGGTGGAGAAGGGGGTGCAGGAGCCTTGTCCTAGTTTTTTCTTTTTTTTCCCTGAGATCAGAATGTATAATTACGGGAGGAGACAAGAGGGAAAATGAGCTGAAGCCTCCTAACTGCAGAGGCCGGTCCTTATGAGCAAAGGGCCACATGTCTCCTTTTATTACCGGCCATAATTCCCTCCTTGGCTCAAAGGCGGCTGTGAAAAGAGCAGGACTGGTTCAAACTTCCTTGTGGTCTCCGTGGCAACCAGCCCTGCAGGAGCCTTTTCTTCCTTTCCCCCTTTCCTCTTTTGTTGTTGTTGTTGTTGTTGTGGTGTCATTAAAACTTCCCTCCCCAAGGCCCAGGACTGAATCCCTACCCGGCTGCCTCGGCCCCGCTGCCTGCCTCACTGCCAGCGCCGCAGCTGCCCCGCTGACATCTCCGCTGGCTGCTCGCGGGAGAGCAGGAACACAGGGGGACTTGCTGGCCTGGTGGGCACCCCCTCCCGCCTCCTACCCGCCACCCCGAGGCCCTTCACTCCCAGTCTGCCCTCCTGCGTGGCTTCAAGTCCCGCGTGGTTTTTACAGGTCTAGAATAGAGGTGTCTGAACGCAGCCGCCTCCTACCCAAGAGTCACCCCCAACCCATCTGTGCAACTTCCTCCAGTTATAACCAGCTGGGCCCAACCCAACTGCTGGGATAGGAACAATGTAAAGCTGTGGTCCTGGTACACATGGGGCCCACACCTAGATACCAAAGGGCCAAGTCAGGAGCAAGCCTACCTACCTTACCCACGGTTGCACTGGCCTGCTCTGTGCCTTCTACCGCTTCCCTTGGGATATAACCACGGTGGCCAAACTGCAGCTCACTGGCATGGTACTTGCGGCTCTCTGGAAATTGGCTGAAGCCTCGTCCACGTCTCCCCGAGGCGGCTCTGGGGGACACTGCAGCCCGGCACCTCCTGCCGCTCTGGGTTTCCCCGCAGAGAGCGTGCCCCAAGCCCACCCTCCTCCCTCCTTCTCTCTCTCCGGGACTGCCGGGCTGCTGGGGCAGGGGCTGCAGCTGCACCGCTTACCCTGGGGTGCATACCCGCAGGGAAAGCCGAAGCAACTCGGTGGTGCAGGGGGGGTCACCTCTACTCCTGGTTGCTCAGCACCCCCTCTTCTCCCTCCCCCCCACTCTCCAGGTCTTGAACTTTGGTGGAGGATTGGATATGGCTCCCAGGCCAAGTAACTCTGGCCACCCCTGTGATATAACATGGAAATTTGGTTTCTCTCAGATTTCAATAGCCTTGCCTCTGAATTTGGCCCAACATCCCTTCCTGACACAAAGTTTAGGACTCCTGAACTGAGAACTCCTTTCTCAGAAGGGGTGTAGCTAGCAACCCATGCTCCCTGACCCTGCTATCCCCAGATGTGCAGACCAAAAGAGCTCCTAGCCAAATATTCCAATGTAGCACAGCACATTGAGCTGAGAGCAAGCTGTGCGCATGGTTTTCTTGGAAACTGGGATTTCAGTGACTGATTCTCCACTGCTCCTTGCTTGGGTCTGTGCCCACAGCATGCAATGTGCATACAAAGTGCTGCCAGCTCAGAACAGTAGTGGTTTCACACTCAGTTTGAATACAGAGGGCAATACAAGATGCAAGGAAGAGTAGCATCTGGTCAATCATCCCTTGCATGTGGTGCATTCATGGGCAGAGCAGATAAAGCTAACGAGAGACAGCTAGCAGGAGAAGTGAGTGCAAACTGCTATTTGTGCCTGATCCTGATCAATACTAAGTGGGCAAGCTCTGCAGAGCAGGATGCAGTGCCTTAGCTGCAACCCTGGCTTGTTGGCATCACTGGACTCAGGGGAATTATGGGTGAACAGTATAAATGGATAATGCCAATACTAGATCAAGCCAGACTGGTTCTCTACCCATAACTGTGGCAGAGCCACAGCTATGAGAAGTCTCTGAATGGGAGCAATGTGGTAGCATGACAGATGAGGGAACAGCAGTGGTAAACTCCTGCAGCCGAGCTTGAGTTACTTCTGCTGACCAAAAATGATCCTGTGTGGGGTTCATGGGCAGTGACTGGGGACACAGCACTGGATTAAGCAGATATAGCTTCTTTGGCTTCAGTGATTTTGTTCCAGATGACATCAGAGCTGTATTTGGCCCATGACTTCAAGTTACAACAGGCTGGGAAATTACAGCCAGCAGCAAGAACACCAGCCACATTTCATCATTTTATATCCTCCTGCCCCTAGGACATCCCCAGACTAGAGCCTTGGGAAAGGGAAAAAGGCCTTCTGCACTGGGGTCCTCCCTTGGTGTTGATCTCACTGTCCCTTCCCTCTAGAACAGTGATTTCCTTTAGATCTAGAGCTACATAAGCCCTCCATTTGACCTTTCCCAATAGCAAAGCCACACATACTTACAGCTGCTGTCATGCACAGGTGAATAGTCTTTCCAATCACACATCTCTTGTGTCCTGAATTATTACTAAGTCTAACTTGATTACATAAAATCCCAAAAAGGTGAAAAGGCCACTTTAAGAACTCCCAGGAACTTCTCAGATGTCTCATGAGTCTGCCTGGGAGCTGTTTCAATATCTTGGTGATGGCCAGTACAAAACCTTAGAAGAGAAAGGCAGAGGGTTTCAGCACAGGGAGATTATAACTAATGCTATAACTGTCCTTCTGGGCTGTGCCCATTAGGCTGTTGGGCCTGATCAGTACTTGGATGGAAAGCTGGAGATAGTTGCAAGAAATGGCACTGGGGTTTCCCCACTGCCTCTCTTTGCTGCCACAGTGTAGATAGCTCCTTCCCCACCAAGTCCTTACTGAAGCCATGCCCCACTGGGGGGAAGATGACACTGTGCTGTTTCAGTTATTATCTTCCTATTATTGCATAAAATTGATGTCTCAACCCCTTGTTTTCATGGAAGTTATCACTAGGAGTGGGTGCCAGTAGCAGTGTCCTAGTTATATTATATTGTCATTATTCTTTTTAAAAATTGCCTGGGAGTTAGTCTATGGGATGGTTCTGTAGTTGTTGACCTACCCTGTTGCACAGCACCTGCAGAGCTCTTCTGGAGGGGTAGCTGCCTTTAGGTGGTGGACTTAATGATTTCTATTCATCATGTGGTAATACCTCAGCATGCAGCATACACCAGTCCTTGAACAGAAGTGGTCAAGCAGCACCTAGACAATCCCTTTATATGCAGGATTCTCAGCCAAAACTCCAGTACCTGGTTCCTAGAGAGCAACTCTCAAAAAAAAAAAAAAAAAAAAAAGACTCCAGTTAAATAGATGAAGCCAAAGATCAACATTTCCTGCTACTTGCCACAGCTTTCCACGGTAAAAACTTCTACATAAAACTAACACCACCACAACATCTCTTCCAACAATGAACAGTGGGAGACAGTTATCACAGAGTGAGGGGATGGATGATGGGAAGTGGGGGAAGGGCACATGCACAACAACATTCATTAAAAAAAAAAAAGATGTGTTAATAAAAATCCTTGCTAATCCCAGGTTTCCCATCATCATCACCACCATCTTTGCAATTGCTTTCCCCTGATTACACCAGTGTGACAATTAATTTTAGTGGAACTACTAATTTACACCAATATAAGTGAGAGCAGAACCAGGCACTCAACCTTTGGCCTGGAAAGGAATTGCTTTGGTAAGTGCTAAGCAGAAACACATCACAGCAGCCAGTAGATGGTAGAGCTCAATAGAGAGCATGTTACAGGTATTCCCCATGTTGGACAGTTACCTTCCCCTACAGACAGCAGCCTGTAGTCTGGGAATGTGGATGCAGGCACCAGGCAGATTGGTGCAATGCAGGCACTGGCTAAGAATGCATGGAACATAAATGACTGACAGATATGGGAATGGACCCAGCATAAGACAGAGACCTGTTTATAGATCCTATGCAACTTCCGCTTGAGTAATATACATGCATGAGGATCCAGCAGTCTAACAGGAGAAGACACATTTGCCACCTCCCAGGAAACTTTAACGTGAGCTAGTGCATGCACACAGATTGCAGGTCAGTTGGCCAAGGAAGCCATGTGCTATCTGTATCCCCGTGGCTCTGTCTTTCCTATTCCTCTGTGGTGTTGTAATGTGGGTCAAGGGCTCAGTTGTATCTTGCTATACTCATGTGACCATGTAACCCCCACCTCTTATACACACACACACACACACACACACACACACACACACACACACACACACACACAGCAGGGAAGTACTTCTGCTGAGTCAGCCTCAGTTCAGATGCTAAGAAGCTGCATTAATATTCCAGGTAACAGCAGCTGGATGTCAAGTCTAGGTAACTCCAGGCAAAACAAGGACGAGAGGGGGAGCAGAGATTCTGCTAGGGCCAGAGGAGCTAAAGAGCTAAGGATATGGGACAAAGAAAGTCCTGCAGAAAACCCCTGGGGACAGCTAAGACAGTAAGGATGCTGAGATGGAGGATTATGCTAAACTGTTTCCAGGTTCGCAGTAAAGCTATGTTCCAGGAAAGGTCAGAGTTTTCTTGTTGAGGAAGGGGTAAAGACTCAATTTGTTCACCTGCAGTTCAGAGGAGGATTGCTGTGGCTGATTAAAAATTCCCTGGATAAGGAATGCCTTAAGGACTAGAGCCACAAAAGGATTAACCAACATGAAAAACAGCAAAGTTCAAGTTGTAGATCTTGGAAATTCTAACTCTGTTACCACCGCAGCCTGGAAGCCCATGAAAACAGGAATAAGAACAGGAAAAGCCCAAATGGCCCCTTAAATACCTCCAATGTAGATTTTGGCATGTCTCCAGGTCAGGCATCTGGCTTCAGGAGGGAATTCAAGGAGATGGGGTTAGACACCTACAAAGGACAATTCAGAGAGTCTGGATGCTGCCTGGAGAGCTGCCTAGAGCTAGCCCATAGAAAACACCAAACCTGTTCAAACAGGAGTACCCTCAGGAGAAGTGGATGATGCCCATACAGTCTGTTCTATAGAAGGGTGGTTATGGCACTCTCCTAAAAAACAGATATGGATCTAAATCCCTTCAGGCTGCAGATGGCTTAGATTCAAGGTCTTCCACTTCCTGATTGAAAGCTCTAACAACTGGACAATTAAGGGTAAGGTGGGCTGCAGCCCCATAATAATAACAACAACAACAATAATAATACTAATTATTATTAGTGAATATAAATACCACACTGGGTACTTCACTCTGGATTGCTTTTGTAACTTAAGTATCTAAATCACGCCTAAATCCCATATAGGCATCTACTTAGTTCACCAGTTTGACTTTGGCCCTTAAATGGTTGCTCAAGGGCATGGCCATTGGTACCTTAGTTTTGACAGTGCTAAGTAGCTAGACACTTAGCTGACACCGAAGCCCAATGGGATTTACAAATTAGGTGTCCTCCTGATGGTAGAGCCAAGCCACTGGCAAGTTCAGAGCACACCTACCAAACCAGCCTCTGCACAAAAGAGGGCGGCACCCTTTCCCCTTTGCTCAAGTTGTTGGAACACTCACCCAGCAATTGGGAGACTCAGGTTCAACTCCTTCTGCTACTGGATGGGATTTGAACCCACATCCCCACCTTTGAAGAGAATGCCTGGACTATCAGATTCCAGGCCAGTCTGAGGTAGGGCTCACCTAATCTCCCGGGTTGAATGTGTTACCTTTTGTATATAATATCTGACTACTCAGGGATAAGAAACGGGAAACCAGCTCCCCCCATCCTGTCCAGGTGAGCGATGTAAACAGTGAATGATCACTTTCTCAGGTCCATTGAATATTTAGCTATTCCATGGAAAGCTGAACTTCATCAGGAGGGACTGAGAGTGCCCCAACCCAGACTCCACTCTATCCTGTAGGCACTGTTCTTGGAAGTGGAGGTTTAAGTCCCTTCCATCGGAAGTGGAACAGAACGTGGATGTTGCATCATCTTAGCGTGTGCTCTCATAACCAGTCTGCTGGTAAGGGGGAGTGTGCACTTCCTCATTCACCAGCTACAGTCTGTGAGAAGGGGCTTGTGTAGGTGGCTCGCTTCAACCAAGACTTCGTGGCTGTGAATCCAAAGGGGAGGAAGGTGCCTCGCTGAAGCCTGTAATTTAGCTCAGTAACACAGGGCTGAATCTCCAGACTGAGCTTCAGCATTTCTGTTGGCCAGCTTCTCTTGGCAGCTCCCTGCCCAGCATGCTGGCTTTTGTGGATCCCATTCTGAGATGTCTAACTCTCTCCCTATGCATTGTACAGGGAACCAGGATGCCTCACTTGGGGCTGAAGCTTCCAAGAGACAGCAGGGAAATTTATAGTTGTTAGGTGCAGCGGTAAAGGCTGGAGCAGTAAAGCTCTTAGGTGCATCTAGCCCTCAGCAGCCATAATTCTGTTGACAAAATGTAGGGCTGTTATAGATTCTCTTGCCTACCCCAGCAAGTCAAGCTGAGCATCTGGCCCTGGCCCCTTTCCTTCAAGGGTCAGGATCTGGTAACACTGGAATCACTCATCTCATCAGGAATTTGGTTTGCACATGCAATTTGGTTTCTCCTGGATTTAATTATGCAGTGTTCTGTCATGCAGGGCCCCTGGATCCTGCAACACTGGGAGCACTGATACGTGGGGCCCATGCTACTCTGGTGCTATAGCCACGAGGGTGTCTGAGGAGAGAATGCAACTAAACACCTCTCTGGCAGGTAGACAATGATGTCAGACCCATCTCCTCCCCACCCACATCCTACCTCGTTCACCCCGTGCCCTGTTCAGAGCAGGGAAGTCACATAGTTCTCAGCATGACTTGGCCCCAGAGGCAGCCTCCACTAGCCCTTGTAAACAGCAGCACTGAGCTACCGTGTGAAGACCTGTACAGTCACACAGCCCTCTGCATTCTTGTCTTGCTAAAAATTGGGAAATTTGATGACTCTTCCAGACAGAGACAGCTCTTCCTCTGCTACTTTTATCTCCTTCATGCACTCAACAGCCTGTTTTAAGTTATTTGCATGAGTATTCAGTCAGATTATTTCCTGGGGTAATTCCACTGAAGGCAATTGAGTTGCACCAGACCTGGTTTTAGCTCCAGTGTCTAATGTTTGGAGCTGGTTAGCTAAAAGTACTGCAGAATGGAAACAAGCCCAGACAGACTCCACGACCCCATCACCTGCCCCAGGCAAATCCAGTGGCTGCTTCCACTTTGTCTCTCTCTGCTAGCAGGACTCTGAAGAATGATGAAGAAAAATTTAGAAGAGAGAAGGAAAAAGAGACAGGAAATTAGAGGCCAGAGCTACAGCACCTCACAGTGTGAGTGAAACACATGTCCTAAATGGAGGTTTCACTAATCCATTGCTGGGCTTTTGTTGAACTGAATTAGAAGGAAGCACAGATGAATGCTGGGACACCAAACAGCCCTGCACTTTAAGACAGTTCAGTGCTTGTTTCTATTCTGAAATTTGCAACTAGGTGCTAACCTTTTATACCGGCAGAGAAAAGCTTTATACCAAGAGTAATCAGTTAGTTATCTGCTTACTAGCTTCCTTGAATAACCCCTCTGTCTGGACAATTTGAATTGGGTTGTCAAACTACAGTGACCTATTGGGTCCAAAAGACTCCCAGGAAATGTGACTGACAGCCAATGACACCAATCCACCCCTTTATTCAAATCCTGCCCCTTTTAACACCATTCATTTACCCTTAGGACTCCAATTTAAAAGAGGGATCCACAGCAGAAGGATCTACATTCCACATTTGATGGGTCAAGTTGGCATGAAGTTTTCTATATATTTATTTTAGGATTTAAAGAACAGATTCTCATCTCAGTTGCACCAGGGAAAAATCAGAGGTAGCAACACTGTTAAAGACCAGACAGAGGGATCGACAGAATTCTCAATAGATCTGAGACTGGAATTTGATCCTAACTACAGTATTTGGAAGGTCCACATAAGTACATACAAGTGAAGATGGGCAAAATTTTCAGGGAACCGACCACCGTAGCTGCTCTGACTCTGCATGTTGAAGCAGGTGATCCAGCGGAAACACCATGCACGACTATTTTAAAATCTGCACATCTGCACAAATCTGCTAACAAACCTCAACTCAGTCATAAATCAAAGCACATTCCATGTGTCCTAACTGAAGACTGCCTTCCTGCAGAAGGAATTCCACTGAATAACACTGATTTCCTACAAAAAAGCCAAGTCAACCCCCAACCCTTGCTGCACCCCACCTCCCCAGGTATTCTTTCAGGAGAAGTGAAATTTTAAGGACTTCAGGGTCTTAGTCTGACACCACTGAAGTCAGTGGAAGTTTTGCCTGATGAAGGGTGTTTGTGCCCAAAAGCTTGCAAAGAAGAATTCTTTCCAACTATTTGAGTTGGTCTAATAAAAGATACCAGATTTACCCAAAGAACTTTGTCTGCCTGTCCTTAGACCAACATGGCTACAACCTATCAGCAGGACGGGCAGGAGGGAAAAGGAGAAACACATGGACAATCCTTCAGTCACCAAATTCATGTCTTAATTTCAAAACAATCGCAACCCTAGCTTTCAAAAAAAGATGCTATGGCCTATGTGAAACACATATGGGACCAGATCAAAAACCCACAAAAAAAAAAAAAAAAATCAACAGAAAAACTCCCAATGACTTCAGTGGACTTTGGATCAGGTAAAAGATTTCACAAATGACCTGGTTATTTTTCTTTCAAAAACTGCCTCTGGCACAGTCCCTGATGCTGGGGACCAACAAATCTGAACACAGCTGAGTACTCTGAAGGTTCTTCTTCTCAAGATATTATGGCCTCCTCCCCTGTACTTCAGTGATGATGAACTTGGTCCTCCACTACCAGTCTTTATGGTGTTAAGCACCTGGACTACTGGGGAGACAAAACAGTTTACCAGGAAAACCTAATTAATAACAAATTCTCCTCCACCTTCCTGACGGTTGCACATAATTCCCTGTCTAACTTGCTCAGTTCTTCCTGGGCCAGATCTTGTCATCTCTCCCAGAGGGAGACTGTCTTGATTAAACAGTAAGTAAGGTCTTTGGGATTTGAGCCCTAAATAATTGGGTTGTATCCAGGAGATTGTCTCTGGGAGAAGCATTTCCTGGGATGCTACAGTCTTTAAAGAAACGGGAATTTTATTCCTTGATGTACAAATGGCCAGATGCATTCTGTTTGGGTTGATTTTCATTCCTCTCTCCTGGTGTTATAGTCTAGAGTAGGGATCAGAATAACCCACTGTAAGTCACAGGTGAGTGGTTGTTAGGACCCAGCCACAACTTCTCCTTGCCATTCAGCTGGAGTGTGGAACAGCAAAAGCACCCCTCTGCCAGAGCCCCAAGTGACTGACTGTGGTGCAGAGCAGAAAGAGCCCCCCATTTCCAAATGCTGTGGCAGCCGCCTGTTCTGTGAGCTGTAGGTTGCTGACCTCTGGTCTAGACATTTCTGAAGCATCAGGATTCTCCACATCTGCGGATAGGAAAGTGAATGGTGGAACCAATAAGTTGAGATGTAGAGAATCCTTCTTCTTAGATGCCTGGCTGGTGAATCTCACTGACTACACTCAGGGTCTAACTGATGGTGAGATATGGGGTCAAAAAGAAAATTCCCCCAAGTCAGACTGGCTGGGACTGCAGGGAGTCAGGGGGAAGGGTTGATCTTCCTCTGCAGCATGGAGCTCATGAGACCACCTGGACAGATGTTATCATGATCTCTCCTATTCCCTGCCTGTTACAAACAACAATTTAGAGTCCTGAACACTGAAATTCCTTATTTTAACCTAAGTTATTGGTCTCAGTACAAGTCAAATTTCATGGCCTATGATAGTCCAGGCCAAATGGCATGATATAACAGTCCCTTTTGGCCTTCAACTTTATA